CGAGGGGAGCGGGGGGTCCGGGCCGCCGCAGCCGCAGGTGAGCGCCTGGGAGGGTGTAGGGGGGCAGCGGAGTTTCAGTCACGAGGCAGGGAGACGGGGCTTTGGCATGTGCCTGTACAGCGGGGGCCGCTCGGTTTTGTTTCGTTTTCCGAGTGCGTTTCGCGGCGGGGTTGGGAGGAGGGGTAGGGCTTCAGTAGCGGAGGCGCGTGGAGTTCCGTCGGAGCGGAAGAGTTTCGCCCTGTAGTAGTTTTAGCCCCCGGCCACTCACTCTGAACAATGGCGCCCTCTTAACGCTCATTTTCTTGCCCACGTGGGTCCCGTTCCGCCCTCCCTGTCCCGAAGTAGTTGCTGAAGTCTGTTGCGCCGCCCGTGTTCAACTTCTAACACGCTTTTTTTTCTCCCCCCGCTCCTGGTATGTTTTAGCCCTAGAAGACGCCGTCGCAGCCGCTCTAGAAGCAGGAGCCGCTCTAGATCCCGCAGTCGGTCCCGCTACAGTCGGTCCAAATCCCGATCTCGCACACGCTCTCGGTCTCGCTCCACCTCGAAGTCCAGGTCTGCCAGGAGATCCAAGTCAAAGTCCTCGTCTGTCTCCAGATCCCGGTCCAGGTCAAGATCCCGGTCCAGATCTAGAAGCCCTCCCCCTGCCTCAAAGAGGGAATCCAACTCTAGATCCAGGTCTAAGAGCCCTCCCAAGTCTCCGGAAGAAGAAGGAGCTGTATCCTCCTAGGAACATGGTAATGTACCTCGGGATCAGCACATGTTGCATGTTACTTTATTATAGCGCTTAGGTGGGGTGTTGGGTAGTTCTTAAGAGTATTAATAGCCTGAACCAAGTGAATCCTAACGGGGCACATTGATAGCTTTTTTTTTTTCTTGAGCAGTGCTTTTTGGTTATTGGTTTAGGGCAATTAATACCGAAGGGCTTTCTACGGAGAAATTTTTTTGCAGAGAAAATGTTTTATTGAGAGATTAATGGCTTGGTTTTAATAAAATATTGTATGAGACGCAACCTATGATGAAAATGACTATTTCTTACTGTATTTATCCAACATCTGCATTTTCCCCTTTAAAGCTGCGGTCTCCTGTTTGCTAAAAGAATATTGGCCAGTATTGCAGATTTTAACTGATTTGGCTGATCCTCCAGGGACCAGTTTCTGTGGGCGTGTATTGGAGCAGGTTTGTCTTTAAATGTTAAAGATACACTATCCTTATATAATGGAAGATCGGTTCAGTGGCCGTTATACTGACTGGAGGTAATAACTGTTCTAGAAAAGTGGCAAATTCCTTGCAACGAGAAAACCATGGAAACTAGTTTTTCCTCAAGTCGACATCTTGAAGAGGCATCTAAGGATACACCGGGCGGGGAAAGGATAGTGTGTCTTTAACCCTTCAAACTGTTTGGTCCTGTTTTTAAAAGGAAAGGGCCTAAGCTAGCTCTGAAGTTAGATAATTGTAGCAAAATTAGTCACACTTTCTGTTTTGAATGCTAATTAGAGTTTAGTTAAGTCTTTATGAAGAAGTACTAGTTTTATAACTTTTATATAACTTTTAATAATTTATTGTTGAACAGGCTGAATTGAAGTTAATGGTGGCTTGATCTACAGCCTGATGCTTATTCTTCTTTGTAACGAAATACTTTGACAGAACCTTACATTTGGCACTGAAGTAAAGCAACACACGGGGGGAGGTGGAACACTATGGAAATTCCTAAAACTTAATTAAATTAGGCAAAGCCAGTTGAAACACAACTAGAAGTATACCTGAAGTCATCCACGCAACCAACAGAGACAAGGTAGAATCCTGGCTGAACTTCTCTTTCTTCAAACCTAGATGCATCAGATAAATGAGAATCTACATAAAGGACGCCTTTGGGGGGAAAAGATCGCTTGAGTCTTCAGTCCATTGGAGAGACCCCTGGCACGAGCAACCAGCTGTTGAAAAGGTTATTTTGTAACATTTTGTCTAACTTTTTACTTGTTTAAGTTGCGCCTCAAGTGGCAGATTTTACATTTTATGTGCCATTTTGTTGCTGTTATTCAAATTTCTTGTAATTTAGTGAAGTGAACGACTACCGATTTCATTATTGGCTTGGATATTTGAGGTAAAACTTCATTTTTGTTTATATAGTGCTGACTTTTATTTGAAATTAAACTGATGGTAACTTGCTGCCTCCAGTTTCATACTGAGGAAACATGCAGCCGTTATATGCTGAGTAGCTAACTCTGTCAAAAAGTATTCTCAATTTTGTCTTCATTCCTTAAATAAAATTCTGCAAAAACTTCAATTTGAAACTTACTGTAAATGCCTTTTTTTACTTTGAATTCAAATAGTATCTTCAAATTCAAATTGGTAGAAATCTTTTCAGGTGACAGTTGATATTTGAAAGGATTGCTTTATCAGACTCAATTCTAATCTCTTCTCTTATGTATTTTTGTGCACTAGGCGCAGTTGTGTAGCAGTTGAGTAATGCTGGTTAGCTGTTAAGGTGGCGTGTTGCAGTGCAGAGTGCTTGGCTGTTTCCTGTTTTCTCCTGATTGCTCCTGTGTAACGATGCCTTGTCGTGCAGAAACAAATGGCTGTCCAGTTAATTAAAATGCCTGACAACTGCACTTCCAGTCACCCGGGCCTTGCGTAAAAATAATGGAGCATACAGTGAGCACATCTAGCTGATGATATACACACCTTATTTTTTCCAGAATGGTAAAACTTACCAACCTACATATATGAACTTACATATGAGAAATGTAATGTTAAGAAAAGAAATGGTTCATTCCTTTGTAAGTACTGATTGGTGTATCTTTTGCTTAAGACATTCTGTACTATACCCACTGTCTCTGTAGTTAATATTAAACATTTTTCTGTGTTAACTTTTCTCAACTTAATGTCTGAGTCAGCTTATTTTTAGCTTGAAAAGATTTCTGCAATTATACTGTCAATGTTTAACTTTGTGTAGTAACTGAATGCATTCTATTGCTTATAAATTTTATCCACTGGGGTTGCTTTTAAATTACTATGGGCAAACTTAACTAGTATTGTGACTAACCCAAATGTTGTATGGCAAGTATTGCACACCAGACTATAAACACAGAACCAGGCAGGTCCGTTGGACGTTGTTGTGGAAGATACACCCTGAGCAGTACTAACTGCATTTGCTGCGTGCTTGCCCTGACTCAGCAGGCTGCTGCTTGATGGTAGCTAATCTTACAGCGATGGTTTTCTTTTTCCCCCCCTTGATTTGGATACCAAGTGAATTGTAACTTCAACCATCACGTGTCAAGGGTTATTGTAATGCCTTGTTAACTTTATGCATGTATGTTAAATGGGACTGGAAACATCTGAATACTTGCAGTCTGGCTTGATTGAGGATTAAAAGTACTTTTTTTACAAACTTGAGGAGCTTGTGTGTTCCAGGACTGCATGGCTAGCGGCAGTCTACGCAGATTCATTTAAAAACAAAGGGGCTGGCTTTGGGAAAGAGCTTCAGTCCTGGGAAACAGATCTTACGGGGATATTTTTTATCTTGAAAGAGTGCGGTTAACTTTTCTTCATAGCTGAAGTTGTGAATTTAAGTTGGATCTTGTGGGTTGTCGGGTTGTTAAGCTATGTTGTGTAGTGGCTTACATAATGGAATTGAGTCTTTGAACTACTACCTGGTCTTTGGGGAGGAGCACAAATTTCTCAAAAGCCATAGCTGAACAATTGAACAGCTTTATTTTTACAATGCATGTTTTAAGAATCGCTGTTAAGGGGATCTGCTTCCCAAAAAATACGCGTGAGGTTTGCTGTAAACAGGACTGTTTTCTGCAGATCCACGCTACAGTGAACAGTTAAGTATCATCTTGTATTGGAACCAACAAGTGGAATAAACTTAAGTACCATCTGATCTTGCTAGTGAGATTATCATCATTTCGATTGTATGTCTTCCTGGTAGAGGCGAGCCCGCCAAGTGCTCTTTGTCCGCGCTGAACGAATGTAAAGGAACGTGGATGTTCTTCAGTTTCCATTTGCAGAGCAAAGCTTCAATAGACCAGTCGGCACTGAGGGGAGGAAACACCCATGCGTGAAAACGTGATCCACGTTTCTAACTTCTGCAGCAATTGTAGGAGACTGTCGCCAAGCTTAAATACAACAGTTCACAAAACTGGGTTTGTAACAGTTTTCTAGTTGACAGTAAATTTGTGGTTCTTGGATTATTTTCTGGTTTGGCTGCTTTTGTCTGCTACCCCTAGGATTTACTTGGCTAATAACCAGCCCGATTCACAATCTGTGAGGAGCTTCTCTGGAATCAGTGCAGTGGTGCCTCCGAGCAGTTAACAGTCCTTACTAAGAGCTAAGATGGGGAGATGGGAAGTAAGGTTTGAGTCTTAAATATGCTAAAGAGTTTACCTTCGGACTTGATAAGTAGTCCAGAATTGAGCACGTGGATTCTTTTCCAGCAAGAAATAAACTGTCGTTAAAATATCTTCAAAGTCTGTGTAGTTTGGGGAGATGAAGCAGCAGTGGTTAGTCTCAGATTCTAGGTATAGTTAAATACGCCTGGTTATATGAAATGGTAATTAAAAATCGATACAAGACTAACTGCATCTGTATGACAGACCCGAGAAGCATGGCCTTAAGCAGTTAGTTCATCTACTCTGTTTTCTATTCGCCTCCCTCCGGTGGTACCCATGATAGCTTAATGCTAGAACGACCCCAAGAGTAACAAGTTCAATCGCGCAGTGTCACCTTAAAGGCTGGCTGTCACCCGGCCTCTTGACAGTGTTCCCGGTACTGCTTGGACACAAAGTCCTCGCAGCTTGTCGCAAATCGAAGGTACCCGAGAGTATTAACGTACCTTTTGGGTCAAAAAAGACATCCGATCCTAAAATAACGTCTACGGGAGCAAGCGAGAGCAGCTCTGGAGATACCCGCCCCCAGCTGAGCCCTATAACGGGTACGTGGGGCAGGTCGTTCATCAGGCAGCTTCTCCGGCAGTTCCGCAGGCACTGGGGCAGCTCCTCGCTGTCGGACAGGATCACCTCAGCACCGCACTTGGCAGCCACCACGCCGGGGAGGCTCACGCCCGCACCGATCTGAAACCACACCACAACCCGCTCGTGGGGACGGAAGGGGGGGG